CCTCAGCAGCAGGAATGCCTCCCGGTGCCCAGAGCCAAGTGCAGCCCGGACTCAGGGTCTCTGGCCCCTGACCCAGGACACTGTCTCCCCACATCACATTGCCTCTCCTGCTTGTCCCCTCCCACCCGTCCCACTAGAGGGCAGCCAGGTGAATCACCCACAGTTCTGCCCAGTGTGCAGCGGTCGGCACCCACTGGGGGTGGGTGAGAGAGCCCCCACATTCGTGCCGCCACCTGCGTGTTGTTACACCTTCGCTCTATTTGTGCCCATCCATAACCCACAGCATTACTGTATAGACCTGAAGTTTCAATAAATGGCCGCCTGCTGTTTTTTTCATGCTACATTTGGTCGCTGTGGTTTCTCCGCTGACACAGGTATCCCTCCTTCTCCCATCAGGTCCCCTAATACCAACCAGCCACACTCTTTATCCATCCTCCTGGGGGATGTCTCTGGGTTTCGCTCTTAAAAACAATGTAATAATGAACACAGTCATGCGAAGCCTGGCTGAATGTGGGGGTGTTTAGACTATGAATTCAAACTTGGGAAAGCATTTCCAGGTGGTGTGAAACGCTTTGCAGCTGCACCAGCTGTTTCCAAACTGCTCAGAGGGGTGGGCATCAACAGAGGGTGTGCTCATTTCTCAACATCTTTACAAACACATGGTTTTATTGTACTCTTTTATTTTCTCCAATCTGATGAGTGTGAAATTGTGTGTCCTTTCAGTTTCCTCGGTATTTCTCTGATTATGGAGGAAGCCAATCACTGCATATGGCCATTCAGGTGTGTCTTCTAAGAATGGCATGCAGAGTTGTTGGGTTTTCCCCCCATAAATGCTTTGTTTCCTTTGTCCCACACCATTCCTCTGAATTAATATTTCTTCTTCCTGGAATAATTCCTTCAATAATTCTTTTCATGAGTGTCTGCAGGTGATAAACACTCTTCATGTTTTCTGTTTTGTAACATCACTATTTTTTCCTTAATGTTGCATGATAGTTTATCTGGGAATAAAATTTTATATTGATGGCGATTTTTCCTCACCACTTTAAAGGTATTGCTCCAGGTTCTACTACCATCTATTGTTGTCAATCAGAAATCTGCTGAGTCTGATAGTCATTTCTTTTTTGGTTAAACTAACACTTGTCTCTGCTGGCTTTTAATATTGACATTTTGCAGTTTTACTAAAATGAGTTTAGGTGTAGGATTCATTTGTATTTATTCTGTTGAATTTTCACAGGGCACTTTCCACTGAGGATTCACATTTTTCTTCGATTCTAGAAAATGCTTGGATATTTATGTACAAATATTGCTTTTTAATTTTCCCAGACAGATTTTAGTTTCTAATAAAGGGTTCTGAATTTCTAATAAGCCTCTGAAGTTAAAGGCTCTCAAACCATCTTCCCAGAATCTTAAAAGCTCTTTCACATTTTATGGGGGGTTTTAAAGCTCCTCTGTTTCTGACGTGCTGATGTTGAAAACCGAACAAGCTGACACTCACACTCTGAACGTGGCCCTCTGCCCCCTCAAACCCCTTCCAAGCTCACACCTCGTCTCTGTCCCCACCACCTCTCTCCCACTGCCTGTCACTCCTTCCCCCTAACCCCCACTCTTTTTTATTATTTTATTTTATGTTTTTTTATATATAACCCTCACTCTAGCTCATGTTTCATGAGCTAGGCCTGGGCAACTCAGCCAATCAAACCCTCCTCAACAGGTCCAGGCTGGCTGGACCGCATCCTGCATCACTCCAGCTTCATCTTCAGTACTCACCTCCACACCATGTCCCACACTCACCGCAGTGTTGTGTGTATGTCGGTCCTCACTTCCCTGTGGCCTCCAGGAGTCCAGGAACCAACTCAGTGAACTCCTTACCCCCAAGACCTTGTCCTCCGTGGGCACATTTGATCAAGGATAATTAAGGAATGGAGGGAGGGAAGGAGGGAAGAGACAGGTAGGAAATGAGGGGGGGGGAGAGAGAGAGGGAGAGAAATATAGAAAAGTAGAGAAGGGAAATCAAAAGGAGGAGGGAGGGAGGGAAAGAGGGAGGGAGGGAGTGGGGACACTGAGGGAAACCCACATGAGCTCCCAGAAATGCTGTCACATGGACCAGTACCCCCAGAAGACCTTCCCCTGCCCAAACGTGGAGACCTGGAGCCCAGGGACCTCTCGGGGAGGTCTCCACTGCTCCCTCAGTTAGCACCATGATGAGTCCATGCCGCTATCCCAAGCCAGGATTTGGAGCTGGCTTTTCCAAGTTTAATGGGAAACAGAGGGTGAGCAGGAGGCCATGTGTCCAGGCCCTGGCCCACCCTACTGTTGAGAGACATCAGCCTTCAGAGCATCTTCCTGTCTCTCCCACCGTAAAGTCAGGGAGGCAGGGGGGGGAGAGGGGGGGACCAAGAGGGCAGGAAGGTCTCAGCACTGTAGAGGGTGAGATGAAGAGTTGGGTTTGGGAGGATGAGGCTGGACTTGGGAAAGAAGCAGGGCTGTCAACAAGGAAGACTGGGGGTCTCCCCCTCATGCAAACCCCGCCTGGCCTCATCTAGGATCCAGGGGACGGAGGGACATACTGCCGGATCCAGGAAATGTAGCTCATCACTCGGGCATACACCCCAGGGAAGTCACGATGACCACATATGTCTCCCCAGCTCACAATCCCTACCTGGACCCAGGTGCAATTCCAGCTGCACACCAGGGGACCCCCAGAGTCACCCTGTGGGGAGAGACAGGACTCAGCAAACACCTCCACATGTGCCACTGCAATGGGGCTTTTCAGTCCTGATTCCACGGACTGGGAAGGGACAGAGGACAGAGGGAGGGGCAGCCGGGGTCTCACCTGGCAGGAGTCCTGGCCCTCGCTCCCAGCACACAGCATGTCATCTTTGATGATCTCGCCAAAGCTGTTTGACGAATTCTGGTAGAGCTGGTTACAGACCCGGTTCTCCACGATGGGAACCGTCACCTCCTGCAGCTGGTAGGGCGGGGGCAGCGGTGCTGTAGGGAGGGGCTGGCTGAGAACCAGGGCTGGTCCAGGGCTCTGCTGCTTCCCAACAACACAGGTACCCCTTCCACTCCTGCCGGGCCACCCCTGGCCATCAAAGAAGGCACAAAGGGCCCCCTGGGAGCCCTGACCCTTGGGCCTAGAAGCAACTACACCTGGCTCTGGGACTCAGCTTCCCATATCGACTGAACCCGCTCAGTTCTAGGACACAGAACTTCATCAGGGTCTGGTCTCCACATGCCCGAGGACAGGCACCAAGGAGAGAGTGTTATCCCAGGATTTTCTTTTTTTTCCTTGAAAAGGAATCATCGAGGGCTCATCCCAAAGAAATGCATTACAACAGGGAGGAAACACGTCTGAACCAATGGGTCCAGGTTTTCATTCTGATTTAGGGACAACATCAAGTGTTACACCATCAACATCATAAGGGCACCAGAAGGAGAAGAGAGACAGCAAGGGGTTGAGAACCTGTTTGAAGAAATAATGACTAAAAACATAAATATGTACAATAAAATGGCAATAAATATTTACCTCTCAATAATCATTTTAAATGTGAATGTGTTAAATGCTCCAGTAAAGAAATATTGGGTAGCTAAATGGGTAAGAGCACTCGTATTTATGCTGTCTACAAGAGACCCACTTCAGATTGAAAGACACTCAGGGACTGAAAGTAAAGAGATGGAAAAAGATATTTTAAGCAAGTGGAAATTAAAAGGAAAAAAAAAAAAAGCTAGGGTAGTAAAACTTACATCAGACAAAATAAACTTTGAAACAAAGGTTATAATCAGGAACAAAGAAAGACGTTACACATGATAAAGTGATCAGTCCAATAAGAGGATATATAATCCTTTTAAACATTTAGGAGACGGTGCTGGGGAGGCGGCCTGGAGCTCGCAGCCTGAGTGTAATGCAGGTCTCAGCCCAGAGACGGAGAAATCAGGTTGCTGCTGGCCCTCCCTTTAGCCAGGAGGAGCAGAGAGACACCGGGAACATTCCTGCAGGAGTGTCAGTATGCACTGCGGCTGAACCCAGTGACCTGGGCAGTGATGAAGCACAGAGGTGTAGCCGTGACTGTGACAATCAGCATTCTAGACAGAGAAACAAAGTCACAGAGCCTGACCGCCACCCCTCACTCCCCCGAGGGCTCATCTTTCCTCGCCCTCCCAGAGCTAGCAGCAGGTCCCAGAAGAAGCTGTAGCAGTGAGTGTCAGGTTGCAGAGCACATTATGTGTAAACCTAAGAACTGGTACTGCAGAAATATTTTTCCCTTGAGCAACAGGCACACTCTGCTACTAATACCAGGGCTGAGTGGAGATACAGAAGGGAGGCCTCTGAGGTCTGCCAGTCATCATTACTGGAAGAGCAAAGCAACAAAGGCAGTGGTCAGCTTTCCCCAGCTCACTTTACCCCACCCATCGGAGCTGCACTGCCTGGAGCATCTGGCTGCAGGAGAAAGCCCTGGGATTTCATGGATTTGGAAACCCCATCTTCTACTACATTCCCCCGTCAGGTTGGTCCCCTGAGACCAAGACAAACTTAACACAAAGGAGGTGCCTACCTTCCCAGGGAACACAGGACATTTTCCATCACCCTGCAAAGATCTTTGAAAAGCCAGAGCGGTGCAAGAGATTTAAAAAACTTGTGCTTCAGTGCCACATACTAGAAAACAAAGAAGTGCCAATCATACATAGATGCCTAGACTGAGCAGAAACCCATCAGCTACCTTGAGTAACCAAGGTAATGAGGTAGCTCAGAAAGAAAATGAAAAATTACCAGAAAGTAAACTTAAAAGACATATAAATATGTGATCTAAATGACAGAGAATCCAAGATTGCAGTACTGAAAAAACTCAACAATGTACAAGAAAGCACAGGTAGTTTAATGAACTCAGAATAAAATCAGTGAACAAAATTAGTACTTTACTAAAGAGACTGAAACTTTAAAAAAAGAGCCAAATAGAAATTCTGGACTGGAAAAACTCAATGAAAGAGGTGAGAATGAACTAGCGAGTTTAGAAAAGAGAGTTGATCAGATGGAGGAAAGATTTAGTGATATTGAAGATAGAAGTCTAGAAGTGATCCAGAGAGAAGAAAGACTTCAGAGTCAAAAAAAAAAAGAAAGAAAGAAAGAAAACTCTGAGAACTATCAGAAAGAGCAAAATAAAACTAATGGACGTACCAAGAGAAGAGAGGGAGAAGGGAACAGGGAGTCTGTTCAAACAAATAGTTGAGAGAACTTCCCAAACCTATTGAAAGAGCTCGATCCTCAAATCCAAGAGGCAAACCGGATACCTCAACGCCTCAATCCAAAAAGGCCTTCTCCAAGGCACATTTTATTAAAACTGTCAAAAATTAGTGACAAAAAAAGAATTCTCAAGGCAGCCAGGGAAAAGAAGACAGTAACCTATAAAGGAAAGTCCATTAGATTAGCACAGGGTTCCTCAGCAGAAACTCTTCAAGTTAGGAGAGTGGAATCAAATATTTGTACTGAGAGAGAGAAATTACCAGTCAAGAATAATATATCCAGCAAGGTTATCCTTTAGATATGAAGGAGAAATAAAGACTTTTCCAGACATACAGAAGCTGAGAGAATCTACCACCAGAAGATCTCCATTGCAGGGAAAGTCAAGGGGTTATTCTACCTGAAACAAAGAATTTGAGGTCACAAAGCTATGAATAAGATCACCAACAGGCAGACAGAAGCAGGATATTACAATCCTTTTTTATTTTTATTTTTAATTTATTTGAGAGAGAGAGGGGAAGGGGGAGAGAAACATTAATTTGCTGCTCCACTTATTTATGCATTCATTGGTTGATTCTTGTATGTGCCCTGTGATCAAACCTTAGTGTATCGAGATGATGCTCTAACCAACTGAACTACCCGGCCAGGGCCACAGTCCTTTTTTAGAATAGGGTACTATACACTTAAATATCACATAGAGGTTAAAGGAGGTAATAACATTAAAAAAGAGAAAGAAGACAATTAGCGGTGCGACTTCAGGTGCTGTTAGGGGGTTCCAGGAAGCCTGAAAGACCCTCATGGCCTAGAAGAAGCCCAAGCTCCACTATCCGAATGGGAGAGGACAGATGGAAACTGTACGATGGGTTTTAGCTGCCTCCGGAGCGGAGTTTGGTGAAGAATTTTTGGAAACAAAACAACAGTTGCAGAAGCTGCAGGATGGCAACCACCTGCTGTTGCAGCAAGTGCCAATGGTTGCAACTGACTGGATGAAGTCGATCCAGACCCAAAGCATCCTCCGCTACCTCGCGGACAAGTGCAGTCCCCTTGGCAAGGGCCTCAAGGAGAGAACCCTGACTGACAGGTATGTGGGGGGGACGCTGGATCTGCTGGAACTGATTGTCATGCACCCTTTCCCTAACCCAGCCGATCAACAGGAGGAAGGGGCTAGCATGGCCAGGAGGCTATACTCCGATACTTCCCTGTGCCTGAAAGGTCCTAAGGCAGCGAGGACAAAGGCTCCTCGAGGGTAATCAGCTGAGCCTTGCAGCCCATTTTGGCTCTAGAGGAGAAAATTCCCAATATCCTGTCTTCATTTCCTCACTTCCAGGAGTACACAGTGAAAATGAGTAATGTTCGCACAATTAGGAAACTCCTTGAACCTGGCAGCAAGAAGAAGCCTCCTCCTGATGAGATCTGCGGGAGAACCGGGAGAACTTTCTACAACGTCCTTATGCCAGGAAACAGCACATACGCTGAGGGAGAACTTGCCCCTAGGGGTCGCTGCGCCCGCAGCAGCATCTTAATTGACGCCAGGCTGCCGTGGTCCCAGCTCTGTCGAGGTGCTATGTATGTTAATTGGTTCTTTCATGTCAAGGAGATCTGTTCTAGAAACACTGACATTTTTTTGTCCAGTGAATAATTACTATGGAACCTTTTTCTGAAAACCTTTTTGAAGAGGCTGGCGTTTCAGTCAGATCGGATCTGAGCTCGTTTCCTGAGAACAGGGCTGGCAGGACCTCATGTTCTGCCCCCTGAGCTTCTTTTCTCCCCTTTATCTCATGCTAACGCCTGTCTGGCCTCTTCCTAATTTTTAGTGTCTAATGACAACAGAATATCTAGTGAATATCTCTCCTCTGAGCTACAATAAATCCATGGGAGTAATGAATGCAGTCGATATTAACCAAAATAAAGAACTTGCGAATCAAAATTTAAAAAAGACAATAGCTAATGCAATTTGGAAATGAACTCAGAGCACAAATAGGGATAATTTCTGACAACAAAAACACAAAAGGGGAGGGTGCTAAAGGTCTGAGTTTGCAAAGGGGGATGGAGATTAGATGCATTTCGAAGAAAAAGCACTACTGTATGCATGAAACTTTCCTTTACATAAACCTAATGGTAACCACACACAGAAAACCCCAAAACCGAGACACATAACTTAAAAAGTACAAAGGGCAAGAGCCAACAGAGACAGAGCTACCAGAAAACAAAAGCTACAATGGCCGTGGGAAATCCTCGTCCAGCAATAATTACTCTAAGTGGCGATGGACTGAACTCAGCAGTACAGAGGCACAGAGCAGCAGAGTGGGTCAAGAAACAAAACCCCAGCACATGCTGCCTTCAGGAGACACATCTCAGCTGCAAGCACAAATGTAGGCTCAGCGTGAAAGGGCGAAGATTCTCCAAGGAAATAACATCCACCAAAAAGCAGGTGTAGCCACTTCTGAGAAGATAGATTCCAAGATAAAAAAAGGTAACAAGAGACCAAGATGGACATTTTATAATGATAAGGGGGAACACTACATCAAGAAGGCATGACACTTCTCAATATACAGGGCTTCCCCAAAAAATATATACACGCTTTAACAACTGATAGCTCAATTGATGTTTCTCTCTCTTTGGATTTAACCCATTGGAATTAATAATTATTCAAAGTGTGTATACATGTTTTGGGACACCCTGTGTGTGCTCCCAATCAGGGAGCACCAAAATACATAAAACAACTACTAACAAAAAGAGAGAGAGAAAATGA